ATAGAATTAAATTAGTCAACCCATTTGCAAGAGCTCTCTCTTTTTTTGCTAAATAAAAATTTATTAGGTTTAGGAAAAATTGTCTAAGAAATATAAACTTAATTTTAAGATATATTCTCTTATAAGAAAATATATTATGCAATTTTGCTTTGCAAGTAATCTATTTAGATGCATATTTAAAATCTATTTAGATTTTATTTACTTATTTATTTCTGTGTTTTTATTTATTTATTTTTAATGGCGAAAAGGCAAAAAAACTGATTAGAAAAAGTATTTTATACAGTGAATGTTGGGTAAAACTTTTAAATAGGGAACACTTATTCACTATTAACTACTACTTTTCCCTCAATAAATTCCTAATTTGCTGCTTATTAATAGTTAGTAAGGTAGTTGTCAAGTTTAGGAATTGGGTAGGATTAGGGATGTAGAATAAGGTCATGTAGAATAAGGCATTAATATGAGCTTAATTAGTACTAATAAATGGCTAATATTCTAGTAATATGCATGCTAAGAAGTAACTAGTTAAGAGACCCTAAAATAAAGTGTTACCGAATGTTGCAGTAGACTCTGAATGAGATATTTCTTCACCATGTGTTGATAGACTCTTAAAACATTAAATCATCATTTATTGTAATTATAAATAAATGATCAATTATAAATAAATACTGTAGTCATCGGGAAGGTTCCATTTCCTCTTTTTAGTATTTGACATATTCTGACTGCAGCAGGTTGTACGCGGACACTGAGGGGATTTTACTGCACTGTGCTCACTCTCTGGAAACACTCATTTTTCTGTGCATATTCGTTTTGGCTATTTGGATTCAGAAAATCTGGGATTTTAGGGATTTTGATTAGTTTCCTTTGTGATTCTGCCCTATGGAACAGTTTCTGAAATTGCATTTGCTGCTAGTAAAATGTAAATGTCTTCTGTAACCCATGCCGCTTTCAGCCTCATGAGCTTTCAATCACTGTTGCTATGACACTCACAAAATAACAACGAGGATGTGACTGTGACCTCTGTGCTGTTTTAGGTTTGGTTCTGCAGAGCTCAAGAGAGAGTTCTTGCAGCCCACCATAATGGGAGACATAGTGGCCTGCCTCGGGGTGAGCGAAACTGGGGCCGGCTCTGATGTAGCAAGTAAGTATTTTGCTGGATATAATGTACCTAACAGGAAAGACATGCTCTTTTTATTGCCATGGGGGTGTTTTAAACAAGATGTAAACATACACCAGACGCAAATCTAAAATTAATTACTTTCCCAGATGAAGATATCAAAGCATTTCAGGCCAGGGAGATTAAAAGACTTGCCTACAAGGGAATACCACACAGGGAGATGCAGATCTATTTTTCATAAATGTATTAAATTTTGTATTTGAAGTAAAGCTGGTACTAGTCACATATTATTAATGAGTTGTTTTGAGGTTAAATGAAAGTACAGTATTACTTTATTTTACATTTAAAGCCAAGTATGATCTAAAGCAGTGATTCTCAACCTTTTTGGCTTGAGGGTCCTTCTTTGTCCAACAAAAAATCCTTCAATTTCCTCTAATATTTCTTCTGTAATTATGACAAAGCTGGTTGTTTTGAACTTTTTTATTAACAGAAACTGGGAGTGGTGATATAGTTAAATTAACCACAGTTCATTTTGTGATTCCATAAAAGTGTTGTTATTTTTACATAACAAAAAACGAATAAAAAATACTAAAATGAAAATGAAAACTGAAAAATATAAAAAATAAAAGCTAATTTCAAATACTAATAAATACCAATAGTATATAAACAATACTAACATAACATTTAAGCATTTATATAAAAATTTGTCACATTTAAAAAAAAAAATGTTTGAAATATTGTGTAAGAAAAAGCCTTAAATTTAAGCTTAATTTAAGATAACCAAAATATATTATGCAATTTTGCTTCTCAAGTCAACTGGTCTAACTGGCTAAACTGGCTAAAAAATATCAAAATATAAAGAAAAAAAAAACTAAAACTTTTAAATGTAAAATGTAAAATATAAAAATAGAAACTAATTTAAAATAATAATAAATACTATAATAGTAAATAAATAATACTAAAATACACTTCAAGAAGTTTCAAGAACTCGTTCTTCAATAAAACAATAGTTACTGTGGGGGAAAAACACTTTTTTTTTAGCATTTTCATTAGGTAAGAGTGTTTAATATATTAATTTATAATAATAATAATATACTAATTTTAATAATTTTAAGTGACACCATGGCCCCATTGGAAGCTTTCTGAAGCCCCCTAGTAGGCCTCTGCCTCCTGGCTGAGAACCACTGATCGGAAGAGTCTAATTAATAAATACGGTCTCCTTCAGGCATCAAGACTAAAGCTGTGCGCAAAGGAGATGAACTTGTCATTAATGGAGGAAAGATGTGGACTACTAATGGCACTCAAGCAGACTGGATGTGCCTCCTGGCCAACACCAGCGATGGCCCTCCACACAAGAACAAATCCTTAATCTGCTTACCTATGAATCTGTCAGGTAATACTTTACGCAAAAGCACAAAATTTTTGGAAAAGTCTTTTTTCTGCCAAAGAAAACATGCTAATGTTTTACCATTCGTCCGCAGGCGTTCATATCGCACGCAAGATCGATAAAATAGGCATGTGGTCATCGGATACAGCAGAGGTGTTTTTCGATGACGTGCGTGTGCCTTGCAAAAATGTCATAGGGCAGGAGGGAATGGGCTTCACGTACCAGATGCTACAGTTCCAGGAGGAGCGACTCTGGGGGGTGGCCAATAGTAAGTAATCCATTCCAACTTCCACACATCCCACCGCACGGCAAACATTTCTCTTCACTGGCACAGGCATGACGTCAGTGTGTTAATGTCAGTAGTGCCTGTGTGTTTACAAAGCCAGATCGCTCTCCTCTCAGGCCCAAATGTGTTTATCAGTGAGGCAAACTTCAGGATGAACTTGTGTGTTTTGCTTTAAACATCAAGGAAGAAAAAGGTCTGGCATGTTTTGGAGGATCTTTTGACATCATCAGCCAACATTTCAGCCTTCCTGTCTAGATATTATCAGGACTGAAATCCTACAACTATTTCATCAGGCATATAATTTATTGAAAAACACGTCGGAATTTTTCCTATGACTTGATATTGTCATACTTGTTTTTCCAAGTCCTGACGACCATGGAGAAAGTTGTCCAAGAGACCATCAATTACACCAGACAGAGGAAGATCTTCAGTCAGCCGATTCTATACCACCAGGTTGTTCACTTCAGGCTGGCTGAGCTGCAGACAGAAATCGAGCTGTTGCGCTCCCTTTTGCATCGTGCCACAGGTGAGTCTGACTGTTTCTTAAATTATCCCAGAATGATTTTCTAGACCAAGGCAGCTATGCAATTTCATGGGTTTGGGTCTGGTAGGTCTACAGGGCCACTGATTTCCAAATTAATAATGGAAAGAAATGGTGTGAACACTGGCTTGCAATCAGTCCATTTTCATTTTACCTCCCTCAGGTTGTGAAATCAAAAATTGGAGCTGAACCTCAGCATGTATGCCTGAAAATGAATACCTCTGAAATTCTTAAGACGTTTTTTTGTGCACTTTCATTAGCTCTGTACATTAAGGGAAACAATGTAACAAAGTTGGCATCAATGGCCAAGCTGACGGCAGGACGACTGGCCCGAGAGCTCAGTGACAGCTGCCTCCAGTACTGGGGTGGCATGGGCTTCACCAGTGACGTCCTAGTCAGCAGGTTCTACAGGTCAGTTTCTCTCATCTGAATTAAGGTGAATGCGCTCTCAGAACTGCAGTGACATTGAAAAGCAACAGGTTTGGAATCCATGTATTCACTCATGAGTTTGGGCGGAAAGAGCCATGTCAGTGTGAATGCAGTGAATCAAACTTCTGATTTTGAAAATTGTAAAAAAAATATTGTAAGCCTAGTCCTCATCTGTCAGTTCACAAATATATATAATCTGTTTTTGTTTTTTTGGTCTTATCAGGGACTCCAGATTAATGTCCATTGGTGCAGGAGCTGATGAGGTGATGCTGTCAATCATATGCAAGTACATGGATACTCTACCCAATAAATGACATCACCGATAGGAGTTCAGTTTGAAAAACAAAGTGCACTTAAATGGAGAATCTGACACTAGATATAAATTAACTAGTTATATCAGTTATAAAAGCAGTTAGCAACTTTAAGATGGATGATTTGTACACTGCAGTAAATAAAAAAATGGTACCTCAATATAGTTGAAGAAAACCTTTATATGTAGTCATATGTAACTTAAATTTTGATTATAGTTGTAAATGACTGTTTGTTATTATGCATGAAAAAATAAAGTTTTCATAATTCTTAAGATGCTTGTAAGATTCCTGCGAACCATAAATGGAATATATGAAAACAGGACTCGAGCTTTTGACAACATAAAGGAAATTTTTATGTAATAATTCTCTCAAAAATGACATTTATTTACAAATAAGTTTCTAAAAAACAGAAATAATTCATGGTTTATGTTGACCATAGAGAGCAGAAGGGGTTGAACAAGAACTTCAAAATTACTTAAGGCATTTCTGAAGTAGACAAAATTCTGGGGTGGTTTTTGATATGTTACACATCTGCACTGAACATGAACTCACATATATCAATATGGTTTTCACAGTCTGAAGATCAGCCCTTTGAACACTATTCACACAATTTTGTGGCTGCTCTTTCAAGGGTGTTGTGAAGATTTGCACAGTAAAGGAAAGGAAAATACAGGCTGATTAGGTTTTTGTTGTTTTGTTTACACCTCATTCAGCTGGGCAGTTGCTGAATTTCCAACTATATGATTAAAGGACTACTGGTGCTGTTGTGTGCCTCCCTCTTAAAGGTATTTAATCTGTATCCTTATAGAAGATATAAATTAGCACATTTATAGCACTGAAGTTCTCCAAAAATAATTATCATACCACAAAGGTCAGTATTTCTGAATAAAAGGAAATGCCAGATGTCAGTTGTTAATCTCTAACATATTTTTGTGACCAGTATCAGACAATTAGCATCATCCCTGCACTGGGACACTAATTTTGGTAGGTTAGGACAGAGTTTTGTCTCATATTGCACATAATCACTCAATGGTTCAAAAAGAATGCACTCTCGCACTCCTCAATTACCTCAGTCCTCATCATCACTGTGAGGATTCTGACCCTCTATCCCAAATAAGCATGGCACATAAGAAAGGTCCTGAAGAGTCTCATCAGTCCTATGATCACCTCAGTTTGATCACCCAGTACAGGACAATAAAAACAAACAGAGCAAACAGCAGCATGTAGCAATACACCTTAGTTTGGCTTCCCCTGGAGATGAGTTTCAATCTACCTATGGTGGCTCCCAACAGACCTCCAGTTGAGTCGAAGTCCGAGTCCTTGAGGAGAAACAAACATGAGATGTTACAGCTATTCAGATCAGTGTTTTGATGAAGAGACCAGATAGTGAATCGTTTCCCATCACTTACCATTTCTCCCAACATTTTATTCTGGTAATTGAGTTCATTTCCAATGTCAATTGAAAGCTGAAATAGATGTAAAAAGTATAGATTATTTAGAATTCAACACTTTATTGCCATTGATGTATATATATATCAAAGACAAAAATGGTCAAAGATGAAAAAGGGTTTACGCATAAAAACAGAAGAGACCCACTAAAATGTCATTCAGTGTAACAATCTTGTCAGGCATATTTACAACAAAAATCCATTTATGACATATTAAAAAACTAATTACTTTCACCCCAAATACTAATTAGTTGTTATTTTATATTTCTTAAATTTGCCACTATCCTAGGTTTTGCCCATTTGTCAGTAACAATTTTTTACTCATTTAAAACCCCCCAAAAATTTATATGCTCACTTATTCTTTTATATATTTTAATATGTACAGGTCAGAATAAGCAAGTCCACTTACATGTTTAAGTGAGTTTACTTTAGTTCTCAGTCCCTCCTGTAGGTTTTCATTCTCCTCCTCATACAGGCTGTATCCACTTGCAACAGAATTGCCTGGAGGGCGGCCCTCACCTAAACGAAAACAATAAACGTAAAATTGGCTGGATAAGACTGGTGTTTCTGAGTATTTTAAAATCCAATATCTGATCTCAGCAAATTATTATAAAGGTTAGTAACCGACATGTATGATTTGATTTGATTGCTCTGAAGTTTACTAAGATGGACAGGGCTGGTTGGCTGGGAAAAACCTACACAAGTGCCCTGACATGCTGACTGCAACTTCAAATAATGTTTATATAGTCATCAGAAACTACTGAACATCTAAACATTTGTAACTATTAATTAAATCGTTTTTTAAAAAATAAGAGATTTTTTAAAATATTTTTTACATTTAATTATTTTGTGAAAAATATATATTTTTTAAGTTATTTATCAGTTAAAATCGGCCCCTTTAAGAACTGACTTTAAAATTATATTGTTGGTTCTTTTGATTAAAACGGTTTAAACGATATGGAAGGAATCTAAATTTAGGTTTGGATGTGTCATATATATATTGTTGCAGTGTCTCTGTGTGTTTATACACACAGAAACACCATCAAACACCTCTAAATGTTAACCTGACCTATGGAACAGATGGTCTGATATAGTTGGTAAAACCAGACCGTTTTGGCTCTGTCAGTTACCGTTGTCTCGTACTGTTATTTATAAATGTGGCTCTACAAACCTGGACATTGTGGTTAATTTATTGGCATGATTTGGTCATTCAGCGTTTGTTTAATGTCGCAAACTGTGATATATATTTGAACTGAGAGCCTAGCTTAGCATAAGCTTCAAATATAACGACAAATAAAGAGAAACACTTACTTACCCAAACCTGCACGCCTCATTATCAGCCCGAACCCTTTATATGATATACGATCACTGCAGTTTGAAAGTAATGTAACAAATATTTGATTATCTTCCTATTTAGAGCCGCTGTACTTTCGCCTTAGTAACTTAACTCCACAAGCGCCACGACACCTTACGGAAGCCGCGGAGGATTAAGCCGCACGCGAAGGCAGAAAGGGCGTGTGGGTAGTGAAGTTTTCACGAGTTCATTTTTATTTTTTTAAACTCTTTTTATTTTATATTTCTTTTTACGTGCTGTCACAAAAGTTCCAATGCTTCATCTAAATCTAATGGAAATATTACTGATTAGTTTCTCTGCTGTGCAGTGACCTTGATAGACGGAAATGAACTTTTTGGCCAAATTTACATTTTTAGGTGCAGTAATTGGTCGCCATTTCTTCTATTTCTCAACATTTGTCAACATACCAATTCCACATTTTTATATAGTACAAAAACATTTGTCACTCTCTTATCTTATCGATTAAAAAGACTTATTATGATTGAGCCATGATAATAATCATATTTTTCAGCGTGAGTCTTCCTAAGAGACAGTAACACAAATGCTCAAATAAAATGTCTTATGGCCAACTAATTGTTAATTTTGCTGAACAACTTTTACTAAATTACTGACTACTAATGCAAATTGCATGGCTACTCCAAATTGTCATTTAGTGATGGTAGACCATTTTGTGATGAATTAGTATTTTCTGGGATTTAAGTATATGTGACCCACAGAAGTGCCATTATAGGGTCTGGCTTGTCCTGAACTCAACACATCATTGAACTGAATGTCTGTCCAGTGTTTTTCAGTTGTACTTCAGCCTGCAATTTCACAGAGCACTCAACAAATCAAGCTTCAGGCATGAACATCTCAAAGAGCAATCTCTGTGCTCCTGATTATCACTCAGTAATCCATGTCTCTCTGTGACAGGTTTCTTAGGGTCCAAAGTTCATATATTGCTATTTATTTGGTCCTTGTCTGGTCCATTGTCAAAAAGTAATAGGCTACAGTTCTGATTCTGACTAGTGATCTTTCATACAATAAAAATAACAAATATTTTGTTCATATAGTTTGAAATGGCAAAGTTCTATTTTCCTTTTTACTTTTACTTTTGTCAGTAAATGTCATGTCTGGGACACTTTAAATACAAACTAGCCTACATGTCAGTGGATCAGTGGATCCAGACATCTACAATGTCTAATTGTACTCGGAAACCCCAAATCCCTTTAATTTCCTTTTATTTTCTTTGAATTATTATCCTATAACAATCATTCTTGTCATTCAGAGATGATTTCAGAAATATGTGACTTAGAAAATCTCATAATGCTGATGTCGCTCTTGTCGTCTCTGTGGAATGTGTGACAGACAGCTAGAGAAGCTGAGAACATGCATCGAGTTTGGGATCTATTCAAGTCCTGACAATCATCCTGACATATTTCCAGATATATCATCTCAGCTATGAGTCACTGCTAAACAGACTCTGTTTCATTAGCATTCACCATCACAATCTCTAATCCATTATTTCGCAATGCTTAAGTCAGGTAAACATCCACAGATGTTTCGTATTACACAGCTAAGACACTATTATGTGAGGATTATCCTTTTATCCATAGGACATATTGCTTGTCTTACCAACGAAAAAAGTGACAGTTGTGGAATTGTAAACCATTTTGTACTGTATTACTACACAAATACAAGTTTTCCGATATTTCTTCATGAGATAAAAATCCCTTGCTTTACTTTTAAACCATACAAAGAAAAAAGAAATAACCATGGTCAAATGCACATTTTATATTAAAATGACAGATTTATGATGTTGGTTATAAACATTAAGATGCTCATAACTCATTGCCAGCCTTGAGCAAATATAGCTACAAGGCTTTAATTACATTTGCAAATGCTTATGCTGAATGATGGCAGCAGTGCAGAAAAAAGCTTTCCCTTCTTGCATTTTGTTTGATGGGATTTCATGTTCTAGAGTATGGACTACAAAATTACTCCATATGTGAGTGAGTTTCTTTGTCAGCATGCCTAAACACACACCTTTGCATCCACAAATGTCGAACCAAGCTTTGTTAAATGGGACACTCTAGCCTACAGATGACTGCTTTTGTCGCTCAACAACTGTAACAGTTGCTGTTGAGAAGCAGCAATAATGTTTGAACTGTCTGAAAACAGAACAGGGTACACTACACTACCTGTCTAAATATGTTCATCTTGGTAACATACACTATAAAAAGTATAATATATATATATATATATATAACTGCATCTTAGTATGATAGAAGTCAACATTTAAAGTGTTTTTTTTAACATTTGTATTGTTATATCTGTGTAATGTTGCATTTTCTCTCAAAAAATTCTGTCGTCGCCTGCGCAGTGCGCACAATGAGAATATCAGAAAATATTGCATCCAGTCAGAATCAAGTGCTTCAGAGAACCACATTATAAATGCTTTAATTCAACAAAACCATAATGTATCACATTCTGATCAATAGCATGCCATATGATGTGAGTTTCTGTTTATTTAAATATTTGTGCCTGAGAGTGTCATGAAATTCAGCCAGTGATATTCTAACACGGTAATCAAGTCTCTTTGCTTTTGTATCTGGCTTGATTTACTCATAAGTGCATTATAGGAAAAGATCCTATGATTATCTCTGTGTGCTTCCAACCTCTCTACTGATCTGCACTGATCAGCTAGTTCAGATGTGTGGTATGAAGTTGCGTTTAACTGCGTGCAGGGCCTCTGTCTTAATTTCCACACTAATGGACCATGGCTGATTACATGGTCACATTCACAGGTTATTTATTAATTTGTCTGAAAGGTCTGATTTCTTTTTGCTCTACAGCTAACTAAACTATGGGATAAAATTCCAATACGAAGAAACATTTCCTTGAAGAAACAGGAAGCAGGGTTATTATCATTAAGTTAAAACTAACAAAAAAAAAACATTAAAAAAACATTTTTATTACTTGAAATAAAATAAATATTAGCTGCAATGAATAAAAAAAAACTTTAGTTTATTTTATTGCAGCTAGCCTAGGCAACATTTCTCATTTTTCTTTAGTTTTAGCTGAAGTATTAAAATAATTAACAATAAAAATAAAAAAAAACATCGACATCTGACGAACATAAAAGAAGCTATTTTAAAGAATGTGGGTAACCAAACAGTTGCATGTTCCCCATTGATTTCCACAGTATGGAAAAAAAAAATACTATTGAAGTCAATGGCTACCAACAACTGTTTGGTTAAGCACATTCTTCAAAATAGCTTCTTTTATGTTCGACAGAAGAAAGAAACTCATAAATATTTGGAACAACTAGAGGGTGGATAAATCATTACAGAAACTTCATTTTGGGGTGAACTTTTTATATTAAAGGGGTGAATCCCATTAATGTGTGCTTTTTAGTTTGTTGATCCATTGATGGAGACCTAGAACTGAGTCAGTTATTGATAGTTCACTGACACAGAAAAGGACTTCAAACAAATCTGATGTCCAATATTAAGGTTAGCCTAATACTTCATATTATTGCTTCAAATGCAAAAATGAGACCATTTGAAATGTATAGCTTGAAGGTCACCTGGAGCAGCAAACGAATTACTTGCTCCACTGATGGCCAGAAATTTCAATTAACATGCAGTTCCACTGATTTCTTTTAAACTAATCTCTTTGTGTCATAGTAAATACCGACCAAAGAAGATTTCACTAATGGCTTTCTGCATAATGCATAGATAAGCGCATGTGAAATTTGAAAGCATACAGTACTTATCTTCTCTTGATTAGAAAAAGTGAAAAGCTGAGGTAAAATGGTCTTATCCACAGCATTATTGATTGTATAACTCCTGTATAAGCAGAATACGAAATGTATTGTCAAATATGTTTACACACACAAGGAATTTGTGGTGACAGAAGTTGTTCCCAGTGTGAAGAACAACAAAAACAACAGGACAGAGATAGTCCTGTTATCTCGTTTGCATGATTAGCGTATTGTTATAATATATGTTTGTGTGTATATACTGTATACTGTGTGTGTGTGTGTGTGTGTGTGTGTGTGTGTGTGTAGCACAGCAACCCACAAATCTCTATGGTGCATATAGGTGATATCAGGGTGGAGTATAAGAAATGTAATTTAGTTTTAATAAAACATAGTTCATAAGATTGATATTCATATAATATAACAGTAAAATGTGACAAAGAGAGAATGGCCTTGTGATAAGTACTATAAAGAAACCACATTAAGAATATTGTTTGATCCCAACTTGTGTTGAAAATGACCTTTTGAAAGCTTTTTATATTGTATATGTGAAATGTGTCCTTCCTCCCTTGTAAGGAGATAAAAAAAGAGTGCACTTTATCTGCTTTATTATTATAAAGTGTGGAAATGATAAAGGCTTATAATAGAGCCAAGAACTCTGAAGATCCCATGGCCCAGATTCAGTTGTAATTAAATAGCTGTAGATGTGAGTATTAGAGCATGAGGCTGAGACATTTCTTTCCTTATCTGCAGTTCAAAGTGATGTTCAAGTTGGGATCACATCCTATTACCCCGAACACAGAGTGACAGAGCACTTTTCTCCTCTGGCATCTCTTTTTCTGACGTGTTCCTAACCTATCGCTGAGTTCCTGAGAGAAAATAATTAAAGATGCACTGCAGGCATCCCTAGTAACTATGTCTATAGTTGTCTATGTCTATGTCTATATATGTTTAAACATCTCAGGCTGTATTAATTGAAAATGCCAAAGATGTACTAAAACTGTAAACTGGCAACACATCACAAAACCTCCCGATCTCCTGAAATTCTGATCTCATTACGTTTTTGAATAAATAACATTGTAACCATACAGTCATTCTGCACAGCTTACAGGTCTGGCGTCCTGCACTATCCACTGTATACAAGCATATTTTCATAACTTTGTTCATTCATTTGCACAGCTGCGTTCCACTTCAGTGAACATAATCTCTGTTTACACTCTGTGTTGTTTTACTTTCATTAATATACAAGTTTAAAACTGTCCCAGATATATTTTGTGCACAGACCCACATTAATAAAGCAGTCTGGGAGCTCTAATAGATAAATATCAGCAAAATATCAGCTATTGCCCAGAAGCTGTTTATTATCAACTCATCAAACATGCTTTATCTGTTTCTAGAAATCATTCCAAACATT